AAAAAAAAAAAAAAAAAAAAAAAAAACAGAAAACAAAAAATGAGAAACTTTTTATTATCCAACGATTAACGACCAGCAAATATGACTAATGTTCAGCAAACTGAACATTACATCCAAAGTAAACCAAAAAAAAAAAAATAAGACTAAAATCTAAGGTGAAAATAAGGAATAGCAAAAGAACACACTTCCTACAAACTGAAAAACAACAGCTCACAGATAATACAAAAATCAATTTGACTATCAAATAGCAAGAACTATATATATATATATATATATATATATATAAAGTCAGTTGTTTCTTTCACCTCATCATCTTTTGCTTATAGTAATAATATTTTACAGAAACGAAAAGAATATACAAAAAGTGTGAAGAGAAAAAAACGTATTCATCGTAGGAAGAGAAAGAAGAAAAAAACGAAGAAAAAGAAAAACAAAAACAAAAAAAGACAAAACAAATACCGCCATTTTATGGGAAAGTATAAAATTTGTAAAGAAAAGAAAACACAAGAAAAAAACGGCAGAAATTTTTATGAGGAAACAAAAAGAAATTTTGTAAAAACATTTATAACACCTCAAAAACAGGAATTGATGGTAAACAACCAACATCAACAATAAACAAGGAACCATGTTACATTACTTTATTTTTTCAGTAATATTTACCATGACGATGAAGTAATAAGCAAGAACAGTTTTTTTTTCCTCTTCCCTTCCATCTTCTTCCTTTCTTTTGTAGCGAGGAACAGTGTTGACGATGATACTGACAACAGTTTTTGAAAACGACAAAAGATAACGAACGATACACTTGGCACCACCTATTTGATGATCACCACAGTTTTTCTACAGTTAATTCGTTGCTGTTGTTGGTATTGCACCCAATACCGTTGATGTCATAAGACAAACAATTTATCATCCAAATATATTTACAAAAATAACACTTTTGCGCTTTTTTTTTTTTTGGCTCTCTTAAATATGTAATGGAGTGAAAAAAAAAAAGTTTGAAAAATAGATATCAACAGTCGAGTGAGAACAACACTAACAGCAGCGGAAATTTTTCGCTCGTTTTTAATAGGATATTCTAACACTACGCTGCCAATCTATAAAACCTCTACAATCCACCTGCTGTAATTCATAAGCCTTAGGGATGTTAATGTGGTATAAATATTTGAAACAGTGTATATACCTAACAAACAAATTACAGGAAATAACACTTAACACAAAAATCCTAAAAACGTAGAGTGGTCATCAAATCTTCCATAACTTTATTTATTTGTTTATTTATTTTTTTCAATTTTTAATTCCAACAACAAACTACGGTAAACATCTTTTAAGAAGTGAAAATATAGAACAATTAAGAAAAACCTATTCATTAATATCTAGGTGTACAATAAATACATCTAAAGTTCTGCTGACTGATAGCAACAATCACTACTCCAAGTTTTCTGGACATCGACGTACCACCTCAGTCATTCCTCCCTAAAAAGCAAAATATTATTTTCACTAATATCAACAGCGAAAACAGTAACCCTACTTATATATCGCTTTAAAGTTTGTTTTTTGAAACAGAAGGAAAAAGTTGCAGTGTAAGAGAAAGTAACGTAACAAATTAGACTGAATTATTCCCACCTGAAATATTTTAACCGAAGTCAAGCCTAGATTTTTGAGGGCGACAAGTCCTAACGAAGCTTGGTTACCCAGACCACAATATACTATTATTTGTTTCCCAGCCGTATAACCGGTTGATGCCAAAGCTTAACAGAGGTAAATAGTTGGTCGAAAGGATTAGCGCAAATTACAAATAACTAATTATTCTTCCACGTTACCTTTATTCGCAAAAAATTTTGCAAATGCCAAATAAATTGGAGTAAACTGCAAAAAAAAAAGTTGAATTAAGGTGATACCTTTAGTAACGAAATCAGCACTTTTTATACCATCTGAACCCGTAAGATCTAAAGAGGGGAATGACTTTGCACCTTTAACGTGACATCCTTTTATGCCTGTAAAACTCAGCAATTTTTTAACCATCGCTTTGACTCTTTCATCCGATTATGCTTAACGTCTGAAAATCCTGATAAACTTCTGAAAGCCAGTGATTTTTCTCTTCTTTTCCTTTCGAAGCTGTACACTACATAGCTTTACTTTAAAAAAATTTTGATACATAAATACCTTCTTTTTTGAATAATTCAGCCGCTGGTTTGCTGAACTGATCACTTGGTCTGCAGTCTAAGAGGACAATCTGCAATAGAGACTATAGTAAAAAAAGTATTAATCATATGCATGACAAGAAAACATTTGTTTATAACCGATTTTTTTTTCTGTTAAAATAGTGTGAACTTATTTTGCTATCTGTATTAAAGTTATAACTGTAAAAAAACCAAATCAAATCAGAAAAAAATAATTTACGTCATTTGTTAATCGTTGATTATCAGCAACAATGCTTTGAATTTCTTCACATGTAACGATCAGTTCATTGTTTACCTTTGCTTTAAAATTACCTCTCTAAAACAGATATTGGCATCAATTAAAATTGGGGAGAAAAATATTGAAAAATGGATATTCGACAATCGCAGACGATAGCAATAAAAGCGACATAAATTCAATGATATCATAATAAACACTGATTTCAGTGAATGAAAGAAAGCAGAAACAAAAAAAAAAAAAAGAGATTCAAGAATTTCTTAGAATCTTTACCGTGGGTGTTACTTTTTTGTTACTGACGCTTTTGCCAGACTTCTTCCAAGATTCAATACCTCCATCCAGCAACTGTACGTTTTCAACACCGTAATACTAAAATTTTCCTATCTTAATTATAAATTTATAAAGTAGGCAAAAGAGGTCATAAAGTCGATGTAATACTATCTGAATGGTTAGTTAAAATTATCTGCTATTAACGCGATAACTTTAAACCACTTCAGCTGATAAGTTTTGAAATCTTTCAGCTTGTTTCATGTAACTATTTTTAAAAAACAGAAAAGAATTTATTTTCAGTAAATATTAAAATTGTATTTGAAATAAATTTTGTTTCCTATGTTTAGTTCTTAAAATCTTCTTAATTAAACATACCTTTAATGCAAACCAAACATGAGCCGAGAATAACATTCCAGCACCAATTCCACGTCCATATATAATCAGATGATCACCATTATTGATACCCAAAATTCTTGCATATTCTTCAAAAATTTCTGCTGGGTATAGATCATAGCGTTTGTATCTAACAAATTTATGTTATGCTAAAGCTTATACTCTAATTTTCAAAAAGCTTTTTTCAGAATATTTCACTTTCTACACTAATTACTTAATCATAAATTTAACCCGGAAGAAAAAAAAACAAGAAAATAAAAAAATACAGAAGAAAGTTATTGAACTTACGAAATGGTTTAATTGCTAATGTGAAAACATATTGGTTGTTCCAAAAGCTTTTTTGCTCGTTTTGCTATATTACCATCAACAAATTTTTGTATTATCAAGAAAAAAAAATTCTTAATCTACTGCACAGCTTTAGTTTTGCAAAATGAAATTTATACTATTCGCTTAGAGCCACTGCTGCTTTCTCCGCTGCAAATGATCGCCTCTGTATTGCTAATTTAAAAACTTTCTCCTCGCGGTCTCAAAATGTTGGCAATACTTTGCAACAAAAATTTTTTGCAGTATACTCTTCAGCAACGCTGTATCAATAGCAAAAGATCAAAATGATAAAGAAAAGCTTTTAAAAATGATGACAATACTATTTAGAAACTACTAAATTGCACAGAATGATTCTCTCAAACTAAGGCACCTTCTAAAAATTTCAGACAGTTTTGCTGCAGATTACAATAGCAAATAAAGTGTTTTTGGTTTAAGCAGTTTTGTTCAATTTTCCAGAAACAAATCTGCTGTTTTAGAAGCTTTCTTAAACTGTTGTTAGTAGTAAATAAACCTTTTACAGTAAAATAAATAAAATTCTTATGCTTTTCTAAATTTTTACAATTGGTGTATTTGATGCATAGCAATAAAATAAACTTACTTTGCAATGAAAAGTCCAATATCAAGACTAAAATTTACTGCATTTTCAATATGCTCCTCTTCATAGGCTTTCTCTGGCTAAATTAAAATTATAGAATAAAAAAAAAATTTTTTTTTTAAGGTACACATTTTGTATCGCAAAAGTACAAAAAAGTTTAACAAATGAAAAAACGTAAATGAGAATACGTTAAAAGCAAAAAAAAGAAAAAATCAAATTTCACACTCGCATAAGGTTAATTTTGCAAAATTTTCCACTGTAAAAAAAAAAGTCTATAATTTTTGTCTAACGATTCATTGCTAAAAAAAAAAGGAAAAGCTGTTTTTACCAGCGTTCTTTTGCCTTTATTAAAACTTCGGTAAACAACTAAAACCTAAAAACGTTGACTATTCTTCTAATTTTTAAAATTAAAAATATTTTCTTCAAATTTATTTCGCTGATAGGATAAAGCGAAAAATTAATATGCGTTTAGAAATCATTTTAAAATTCACGTTTTTGTTCTATAAAAAAATGGACGGTACTGTGATTAACTGTAGTAAGTCATCACAAGTTTTTGCAGAAATAAACAGCCTATTATCAACTTCATACTTGAGTCACCAGCAAAAACTACATTAACATTACGAATTGACCAGCTACAAAGTACTAAACAGAAAGTTATATATGAAAACGAGGAAAGAAAACGAGTGTAAATATCAAGAAAAAAAAGAAGGGATAATTAAAACTAACAAATGCATCAATAAGTTTTTTGAAATCACCATAATAGTTGTCATGAAAAGTTTTCCAGTCTGGAAAGTCTGGTCTTAATGTATAGGTGGCATCAATAAGTTTAACGTTCTTTTCCTGCAACAAAGAAAAAATCCAAAACAATGGGATAAAAGATGGAAAATTGCATAGACAAAAATGAACAACAAAAAATTCGTAAAAAGTGTAGCAAATGACATAAATAAAAGCAGCCAAAAATAATGAAAGAAAAAAAGAAGTTATTTTCTTTAAAACAAAGGCTGTTTTAGCTAAATAGCTAAATCTTTTTGGCAGAAACAAAATTAGCCTCTTTTTTTTTTCTATTCTTCAAGTTGAAACACATAAAAGGCAAAACAAAAAAAAAACTATTCATAGACGGCTTATCAAACCTGACCTTTAGCAGTTGTTCAACTTCAGTAACGCTGACGACTGGGTTCATGGTGACGATCAGTGTTGAATGCTCAACGAGCAGTCGTCAGTTTCGCTGCCAGGCGCCGATACGCAAAACAAACTAACCGTCGGCGCTGTCACCAAAAAAATTCTTTCAGTTCGACGAACGGATCTGTTAGTAATGAACTTTTCACTCTTTGCACTATCGTTTCGTCTCAAAAAATATTTAAAAAACTATTACAGTAGTTTTATCTTTTATTTGAATCACATAATTATTTACTGAATTTAGAATAAAGGAAAAGCAACAAAAATGAAACAGTAAAAAACAACAGAGGAAAAAAAGATTTAAAAAGTGATTATCGCAAATTTACTGCAAATAATTTAAAAGCAGACTATCAGCAATCCCTCACTTGTACTGTTTTTTTTTTAGTTCGCTGATATCACTGCAATAAAAAAAAGGCTTTCCTATCAAATTCGGCTTATTCTATTTGTCTAAAAACTTCAGAAAAAGAAAAAAAAAAGAAAAGCAAATTACATATAAAATGGAAATTATACAATTATCAAGAAGAAACAATAAGCTTTTGTCTGAGCAAATGTTCCAAATAAAGCTATGAAGATTCACTGCATGCTGTTCAATGAGAAGCAAACTATTTTCAATGCTTCTGTAAACAGCATTTTGCAATGCTCATTCGTTTTTCATCTATTATTAATCGTTGACAGACAGTCTGTCTTTTTGGTTCTTTCCTTTTCCTCTGTAAATATATTTCACAGCAGTTTTTTTTTGAACATCTTAAAATAGATATTTTGTGTTTGCTGCTAACAATAAGCATATTTTCTCCATAATTTTTGACTTGAATTCTGGCGAATTTATACCGCACCTCTCAGTACTTTGCTGTAAAATAATGAGTTGACGAGAAATAGCCAATACTGTTTCATTTTGATAGAACCGAACAAAACTAAGTTATTCACATATCACTACCGATCGAAACAAGCAGTTTCCAATGCTGACTGAGCACTGGAAAAAAAGCTGCTTTACTGTAGCACTTTTGGGGTCTCATAGAGTAATTTTGGTTTACTCTTGAAACTTTTTGAAATGTGAAGTCATTTAGAGTGCTGAAACATTGTAGTCAGTTAGTGGGAAGCTCAGTGGTTAATGCAAGTGAGGAAAAATTATCACAGCTTCCTGAAAAAATTTTGCACGGTGTGACAACAAGTCGTCCCTAAATAAGCTCATTCAAGCTATCTTTAAAGTCCCTAAAGTAATAGCAACTGAACCGGAAAATTTTACTTTAAACTTTTTAATAATTGGCATAGTAACCTGGCTAAAAAACTATAATAATAGAATACTTAATCAACTTGGTTAATCTTATAAAACCATAGTAACTGCTATTAAAGAACTTGTTTTTGCACAGAAATGGATCAAAGAAAAAAAACTTATCGCATTTAAGGTTTTGAGATTCGACTTAAATTTTTTAGAAAACAAATATGTTCTGTTCAAATAAGTGTCCGACATTTAATGTCGAATAAAAGTTACAATGCTGCAAAATTATTACGATTATTGACTATTTTTATTGCACAGAAAATTAAACACTCAACCAATCTTTCAATCCTCATCAAAACAAAAAAAAATTTTTTTTTGTGTTTGTGTTTTTTTGAATACTTCTCATCCAATCTCGATTTACAACTTTACCACTTCCGGTTACATCTGTATATTTCAGTTCGATAAAAAAAAAAAAGAAAAAAGCAATCTATCTAAATTACACTGCCTCTTTTTCATGCAATTTTGATCAGCTCATCCAAAGCTGTCAGTTCTGCTTTTACTGGCATATACAATAACACCTTTTTAGTATATTTACTGCCGATAACCCAAAAGCATAAAACAAGAGACAATCTAAACAATAGCTTCTACAAATTTTAGGCCTTACTGCAAGTTTGTGGTAAGTTTTACTGAGTAAAATGGTTATGTCTGATATTGCACAAAGGTTCAATTAGCCTGCCTGTGCTCTCAAAATTCTGTAACTTTTTAAAACATGACAGTATGTTACTTTTTTGCTTTTGTTTTTCAGTCGTTAATGTTTATATATTATTAGTGCTAGAGAAGCCTATCAACTAAAGCTTGGCTGTAACTTTAGAAGTATACGAGCAGTTTTCGCATAATGAAATTTTATCACCAAGTAACAAATTAAATTTGGATTTCTTGGGTTATTGGCATTAAAATAATCGTTTAAAACAGATATAATATTAATAAACCATAACGAAAGTATAAATTTTTATTAACATTGAAAAAATTCCGAATAATTTAGTTACTTTGTTTAACTTAGACTTGTAACGACAAAAATTATTTACCTCGCAAATTTCACATGTAAATTGTAAATTTGTTGCCGAACAGTACCTCCTTTCGCCTTACCGACTAGCATATAAGAAAATTTCATTTCTAGCAACAAGTCTTCCTGGCATAAAGTATCTGTATAATAAAATAATGATAACCATCTAAACCTGAAGTTTGTCATAATTATCATTGATTACAGTGATCTCTTAATAAGCCTAGTTTCTTCATATATTTATTCCAGTATGAGCTCACAGTCATTATATGCTTTAGAAAATAACAATTCAATTATGCAAGCTCAAAACTTTTTAAGCCGCTTACCAATTTTATGCGCTTCTCGGGTTTTGAGAAGATCCATAGTAGTTTTTAAGCCTTTATAGATGATCAATTAGCAATCAACACGCGCTATTTAGAATGATGTCGGAGTACACTCTGCTAATTACTTTTAGTTAAGTGGTGTCAGACAATTTTTCGAGTTGACCGACTTCAGAAGTTTCAACATTTTATTGATTTATTGGTAGCATAGCAATTTCTGTTGCTAAACTAGAAGTGCTTACATAGACATTTATTTTGGTGTTGAATCTCCTTCACACTTTAATTACAAGAAATTGCTATATAACCAGCAATAGGATGAGTCTAAAAAAGTCGTAAGCTGATGGATTTTAAAAAACTCTTGATCTTATTTAACCAGACCAGTACAGTTAGATAAATTATTCTTAAAGCGTTCTAATAAGTATGTATAGGCTAATTTCAAAATGAACATCCTGAGTAAACAAGAAAATCTCCAGAATTAAAGCAGATTTTCTTTTCAAAGAATTGAACGCAATAAAATTTGATTAGCAACTCAAAAAACTGCTCTGTTTTCTTTGGCTGATTAACAATATCGAAATCCATCCTTATAGCGTTTTCGTAACTATAAGCTTATTCTGAGATGAAAGTCCTAAACACATCAAATTTGTCACTATAAAATTGTGTCAGTTCGTAACCGTGTCATGTTTCAGGTTCAGAAAGCTACAATTGTTGCAGCAGAAGCATACGCCATGTTAAGGGAATTTTTAACGATGAGTTAGACATTGAATGTCCAACACATAACAGTGGTTTAAATGTCAAATTTATTTAGCCGAGTAGAACAGCACACTTTTCCCTCTGAAAAAACTTGCTTTCTTTGACATATCATGAGTTTTATTTTGTTAAAACGGAAAAAAAACACAGAACGAAATTATAATTTTATTATCTCTGACATTTTTAAAAGTAAAAAAAACTTTTGGATAAATGTTAAGTAAATTTGCAGCTTTAAAACAATGCTAATAAGAGAAAAAAAACCAGTGGTTTATGTATGCATAAAGCAGAATAAACAGCGATGGAGAAGTGACTGTATCAATAAGTTTCAA